GGTTTGCTTTAGTAATGATTTCTTGAGGACCATGGCCACAATTAAGAACACAGATATCCATAAGGAAGTGCTTTCTCTTTTGACAAAGCTTTCAAGTGGTTGGCGTCTGCCTCAAGGGGATAGAATTCTTAAGGATATGAATGGGATTTCTTCTCAACTGTTAGAGCAGTACTATGTCATTGGGCGGCTATATCTCATTTGGACTGTATGTATTCTTTGGGAAAATTCAAAATGCGTCCAGGCTATTAAGGTTTTGGATGTTTCGCCATTGTCTAAGATACCAGAACTAGCAAAGCATCTTGACATCTCGTTCAGGAATCTTACAGTGGCTACTATGCGTCGTTGCAAATACAAGCGTGTTGAAGGGTATGCGTACCGTACTCTTTATTTTGGATATATCTTCTTCTTGCCACTTATTTTGGTTTAAAATTTTGATTAGGATAAATCTTATTCCTTTTTAATTTTGAACCATTTTCATGACTTATAGTAACGACAGTAAGTATGGCATTTGTTGGGTGGAAATATGGTAGTATAAGGTGCACTTGTTTCCTTACTTGTGTGGCATTTGTTGATGTTGTTGTTGACTTTAAGATATAATCATATCAAGAGTAAGTGATAAAGAAGACGTAGAAAAAGAGAAGACAGCGGATGAGAGAAAAAGATGGGGAAAGAGAGAGAATGAAAGAATACTTTCATCCTTCCACCACATTCTATTTATAATAAGAAGTTTCAGAAATTATATATAAGCCCCAACATTATATAAGTAATAACAAATAAGCTCCTGACAACATTTGTCACAACATTTCTTTTGATGAGAGTTTAGTCCAACAATTGTAGTGCCACAACCTCCACATTACCATTCCTATTCCTCAACTATTGATAGAACCACTGCCACCATCTTTACGGCCTTTTGCTGAATCTTTTCTCCAAGCTTAATTCATTGCCGCCCGTGAAAATTTCACGTCTTGCCTTTTCCTGATTTCCTTATCTTCTATGTAACAAGGCAATAGCATGAAAAATGCTCTTCTATATATTTTTTTTCTTCACTACGCAAAGCAAATATAAAATGCTTTTGTAGTTATATGGATATACTTGTAATTATAAATTATAAAAGATCCTTATTTAACTTCTAGTAGTATTAGACCCATCCAATTGTTGACACCCCATAACTATCAAACTCATCGTCTCACATTATCACTATTCCAGTGCCACCACCACAGCTGCCTTTCTAAACTCCTCGAGACTCCCCTTTAGCTTTCCTCTCTCTCTTTGTATGCGTATGTGTGCTGCAAGAACCTTCCATATGCTGCAGCAGCTTGCCTGCTGTGATGTTTGTTCTATATGGTTTAGAAAAATTCTATCATAAGGGCACTCTTACATGTGGAGAGGCTGGGAGGATGAACATTCGATGCAATGGCTTACAGTGCCCTCATGTGCTCTTTATTTTTTTTACATTCATAGGCAATTTGGATTTTGGAAGAGAAAATTTTAATCTATTTACTTGCACAAATTTGGGCCAACTGTTAGAAAATATGCTTCTAAAACGACTTGATTTTTTCAATTGCTACAGGAATTTAGTGGTTCCAATGACATGGCTGGATGATTCCACTGCTAATTGGAAGACTCCCCGTGCCAAGACTGATTCTTTAGAGCTTTTACAAATTCAATTTGCTTCACTTAGTCTTAGTGATACAGCGGGATCATCAGCTATGAGTTATATAAGTGAGTACTTGGTATAAATTATTATTCGGTGCATTAATTTGCCATGATATGACGCAACAGTAAAATATGTCCACATTTAGAACTGTGTAACCAGATGGAAATTTATTAAAACTGACAAGATATGATGCATGGTTTTAATGCTATGAACTGGGAAAGAAACTAGGCCTTTTTGATGCAAGAGAGAGAAAATATTTAAATGTATCGTTTTTTTTTTTTGGGATATTATTTTTTTTTTTCCTTTCTGAACTTGTTGGTGTTTGCTTAGAAAATTGGGTAAAATGCAAAAAAAAACCCTAAACTATTGACCAATTAGCAACAAACCCCCTGAAACTACAAAAGTTGCAAAAAACTTCATAAATTATACATTTTTGTTACAGATTGCCCCATCGACCACATTCTGGTTGATTCTCAGGCAATAAATAAATTAATGACCATAATGCCCTTATAAGTATGAAAAGACTCAATTAGCCCTTATTGTTATCATTACACCCAAACACTTATACCTTTCTATCTATATAAACCCCCCCTCCCCCTACACACACACACACACACACACACACACACACACATAAATAAAAAATACTGTTCATCTTCTTCACAAGAATGATTTCTGATAAATAGAAAAAGAAAAGAAAAAAAAAAACAAACTTGCCCAAATCATCCTCTATTTCTTCCTTACTGGCTATATATATACTTGATAGCTTGCGTAATTATTCAAATACAGATTGTTAATTTTCAGTGTTCGAGTAACAATGGCAGATGACGGCATCAGATTCAGCAACAATGATGCTATTTTATTGTGGATTGAGATTGAGCTTCAAGATTGGGCAACTGAAAGTTTCAGTTTGAAACACTATCGTATATATATATTTTTAAGAGACCTACTTCAGAGGACCCCTATGAGGTTTATAGTTTTGATTTTGAACCCACCTTGAGGGATTGGATTGCGTGTAGCTCGGTTCACTCATCTTTCTGAAGTGGAATTGGTGAGGGCTCTTGCCAAATTGACACCCCCGTGCGATTCTGTTATCTTTCTTCTTCTTTCTTCTTCTTCTCCACATGCACTTTCTTTTGAATCTCTGTCTAACCTCTTCTCTTCCACTGTATATATTTTCTCCGTGATTTTCTCGAGTACTGAATTGAAGTGATTTTGGGGCCAAGACTATGATTTCTTATGATTTGAAGGAATCAAAGAAAGGGAATATTTCTTTGATTTGTTTGTATAGCAAATTTTTTATTTTTCGGATTGACCGATTTCACAAACTCTTACCTTGATCATGACTATCGAGCACGAAAATGTACACTGGCGGTGATACGTAGGAGGAGAGGCGTCGGGTTGAAGAATAGAATATACATGCCCGTGTTTGTGTGTGTATATGTGTGAGGTGGCGGCAATGGTGGTGGTGGCAGTTGGTTTGTGGGTTTGATGTGTGTATGTATGAATTATTTGAGTTTCTAGAGAGAAGGTCGTAGGTTGAGCCATAGAGAAAGAGATCGTGTTAGGGATTTGGTAGTTTTGCCTTGATAACAAGGGTATTGCTTTATGTCTCCTTGTGCTGTCACAATTTAATTAGTTCTTGAGATTTCACTTTTTACATCAACAAATTAAATGTACCAAGTTTGAATCTACGCCATTTCTAATAAGAGGGTAAACTAGCCTTTTAATTTTTTCCGGCATCAGAAGCTGACGTGGTGGGGTTAAATGTAACAATGTAACAAATTCATAGTTCAAGGTGGGTGTTGTTTTTTTTTTATATTTTTTAATTTTTTTTGTGTAGTGTAGAGGTGTCTTGCAAAATTCCAATAGTTCAAGGGGGTGTATTACATTTTACCCTAGAAAACTTAAGCAGGGAATTCATTTTCTTTTCTTCTTTTACCTTTTTCTCTCGTCAATAAGGGCACATGCTTAATATGGTTAGAATGCATGTGCGAATTGCTGAAACAGTGTTTTCTATTTTTTGTTTTCATTTCATTAATGGATATCAGACGTCATATGAAGTCCAAAATGAAGATAACATAATTATTTTTAAAATTCAAATCCTTTTAAAATCGATTAAAAAATCACTATTTAACTACTATTCAGAGTAGTAAACAATTGAAACAACTATTAAATTGTTTTATCCAATTTTCTTAATAACTATATAAATGGCAGCAGATTTATCGGCTAGTGTATCTCAACAACTGAGAGTTCAAATTAAACAATGGTTGAGATTTTAAGTCGAGACATAATATTTGAATATTATTTGTCGAAAAAAAAAAAAAAACCTTGGATTTAATATTATTAGCATAATTTACAACGTATTATGTATGTGATGATGGGCTAGCCCACTAGTGGGCCCAACAAACGGCCAACTAGGCCTTTCATTTAAAAAGCGGTGTTTGGCAGTTTGGGGCTTGGTAGTGATGGTGGTGGACCTTCGTGATCCGGTTGGCGTGTGAGCATAAAAAATAAAGCTTAAAAATCCATAAACACTCATTTCAAACGAAGTTTGATAAAATTACTTTCAGGTATTCAATATCTTTAATTTTCCATTTTATTTTATTTTATTTTCATCTTTAATGGGAATATCATTTTTAAGTCTTGCTTTCATTTTAAAAACAATTATTTACAATTAGACTTTTTGTCATTTTATAAATTTTAATTATTTCTTAAAAGTATAAAAAATATGTAAAAAATAAGAAGTTGAATCGAATTTTAATTAGTTATTATAGTTTAAATTTGTCGGACCTATTTGCACAATATTGAAATTTTAGGAGTATATTTTGTACGTGAGGTCCTCCAATAGTGTCATTTTTGGTCATTTTATAAAATTATTTATTTGTATATATTTTATAAAATGATTCAGTAGAGTAATTTAGTCAATTTAATGTTTAAATTTTTCGGAAGGACTTATTTGCACCAAATTAAAATTTTAAGGATATTTTCTTTGCAGGTGAGGTGTGATATGCATTGTAAGGTGTTTTATGGACTTGACCCTTATTTAAATACAAATCTCAATTCAGAATGAGCTCGCTAATGACTATTTTCTCTAATATTTCCTCCATCCAAACGAGGGAAAGAAAGGATGGTCTCAGCAGTGCAGTTACCGTTTCCGCCCTATAGGCTTTAGAAGAGGAGGAGGATGGAAAATAGGACGCTGCTTCCTCTCCATTTCCTTAATTTCCAAACAAGAAAACCAAATGTCAGTCACTCAATTCCTCCCCTCCCTTTAATTGGTCCCTACAAATACAATATTACGTTAAATATCGCTTAGTATTCTTCTTTTCAAAGAAGACTCTCTGTTTCCTTTAACTTTCTGCTCCCAACAACTTTGTTTAGTTGTTCTTCAAAATCCCTTTCTCACTCGCTATATATATAATACACACACACATACACACATTTATATCGGAGTACATGGGAAAGGCAATGCTTTAATTTTGTTGACTTGTCGTCAACCTCGTCTTTCTTTCTATCTATCCATCTACACACTTCATTATTCACTTATTCGTACGGAATTTCTTTTTGACGACCTTTGGGGAATCGTTGGAGCTTTGGAATCAAAAAAAGGAAAATTAATTGGTATATAGCTTTCTTTCAAAATGGGCATGCAATTGTAGCAGAACAGCGTTGTTGCTTTTCTTTTCTTCCTCAATCTGATTACTTTACTTCCCTGGTAAGCGATCTCTCTCTCTTCATATATATATATGTGTGTGTGTGTCTATATCTGTGTGTTTTGGGGTATACAAATACTACTGCATAAGACTGAAAGTGGGTTTTGACAGACTTAATAGTTTTGGGAAGGAGAGATCATGAGCTTGATAGATTATGTTTTCTCTTGGTCTATTGCTGATGTGCTGAACAAAGATCTTTACAAGACAAAGGTTTGAGCCTCAATCAATTTCCCTTATAAGTCTCACTGCTCTTATACCTTATTTAATTTGTTATACAGAGCATTGTTTGAACACTCACACACACATATAAATGTCACATGTATATTTACCTTTTTCTAAGTATCTACAGTTACCATTTGTTCTTTCTGATATCTCCTTAATTGAACTAAGCTTTAGAAATTTTGATGGTCGTCTTGATCTTTGATTCAGACATCGAAAACAGATGCATAAATTATGTCTCTAATTCGTGAAAATGAACCGCCCACAGATTGCATTACCTGTCTCAAACCCTGTTTTTTTGTACACTAACATCTTTACATTTGATGGTCGTGTATAAATTGTACATGTAAATTGTATATTCATTTACTCTCTTTACTAATAGGGCGTGAGAGACAGGTCCATAAAAAAAAAAAATGGCATGAGACAATTTGGTAGGACATTGAAGTTAGACCTCCTCCAAAAAAAGTAAAAATTAAGAACCTACATAGTCAAAACATGTTAGTGATATTCTATGGCGATTGTGTATATTAATTCATGACATTAAATATGGAATTTTGACAGGTAAAGGAAATCCCGAAGACTTTTGCTTCGATAGGTGATTACATGGATTCATTCATCTATCCTCTTATTGAGGAAACACATGCCGATTTGTTCTCGAGCATGACAACAGTGTCTCATGCACTTACCTGTAAAATTTTGGCCGTTGAAATATCTAAAGGTTATAAGCCTCCCAAAGACTTGTATTACAATATAGTTTTGAGGAGAACGAGGGAGATTGAGAATGATAAAGGAATGTATGAGCCTCAGGTGGGAGATCTCATTGCCTTGACAGAAGTGAGTCCGAAATGCATTGATGATTTGAACAGGCCTAAACGTCCCTATCTTGTTGCTTTAATTCTAGAAAAAAAGTCGGGGGATGATTATTCTGTGAAATTTTCAATCCTCTCATCGAATGACATCATTTTCAATCAAGAAACAAAAAAGGATAAGAAGAAAGAAACTCTTTTTGCTGTTTATCTTACAAACATGACGACAAACATTCGTATATGGAAGGCACTCAACTACCAGCTGGAAGGAGGAAACATGAACATCATAAGGGAAGTGCTGCAAATCAATTCCACAGTAAGAATCAAAAATTTATTTCTTTACTTAATTGTTGCATATTTGGCAGCATCTGGCATATGCTGCTAGGATTATCCATTTGAACAACAAATACTAATTCGTGTTACAACCCTTTTGAATTACACTTCTCTATTCCTTTCTTATATTCCTAATTATATTTTTTTTATTTATACTTACTAAATTCAGGTTAATTCAACAACTATATTTACATGCTCAACAGTGCTGTGTTGTATTTAATTCTTACAGGTTGGGACAAACTGTGCTCAGTGCCAATCTGAAGAAAGTACGAGTGCTGTTATATCAAAGGCAAGGGGTGCTGTTTCCTCTTTTAAGCTGGATGATTCTCAAAAGGCTGCTATAGTGAGTTGCATTGCTACAAGAGAATGCCATCACCAGAATTCTGTCAAACTAATTTGGGGTCCTCCAGGGACTGGGAAAACGAAGACGGTTGCTTCGTTGTTATCTGCTCTGTTAAAGATGAAATGTAGAACTCTGACATGTGCCCCAACTAATGTTGCAGTGCTAGGAGTAACTAAACGGCTTATGAATTTGGTAAGGGAAGCACCTAAGTATGATACTTATGGGTTGGGAGATATTGTATTATTTGGCAATGGGGAGCGAATGAAGATTGATGATCATGATGACCTTTTCGATGTATTTCTTGATCACCGCGTTTCATTTCTTGCAAGTTGTTTTGCTCCATTGACCGGATGGGAAAATAGTATAGAATCGATGATATGTCTGCTGGAAAATCCTGAAGAGCAGTACAGCTTGTATTTGAAAACAGAAAAAGAGGAAGATGACAAGGATAATGACAATGAAAAAGAAGAGGAGGGGCAGGAGGGATTGTTTGGTAATGAGAAGTTAAATAGCAGTCCAGAGAAAGAGAGCGAGATCAATGATCAAGACTCCAAAGACATGGTGAAGAAGAGAGTTTTGAAGAAGGTTTTAGCTCAAATCTTGAAGGAAAACAGTAACAAGAAAAAGAAGGGCAAGGCACCTTCTCAGAGAAATAATCATTTGAGTTGTGATGAAAAAAATAATAATGTTGATCTCTCTTTGAAGAAGAAAGAAAAAAGCGAGGCAAGTGATAAGCCTGTTCATATTTTGACATTTGAGGAGTTTATCAAGAAGAGATTCATTTACATCGGAGAAAAGCTGACATTTTGCATTACAACTTTGTATACTCATATGCCAACTTCTTTTATTTCGTTGGCAGTAGTAAAGAACATGATTAAAGTTCTTGGGTTGCTTGAATCTATCAGAAAATTATTGGTTAGTGTTGCTTTTGCAAGTGAAGGATTAAGAGAAGTCTTCAATGGAACTGGAGGTGTAGGATACAGGGTTAAACACCTTATGAAGTTGAGATCAGATCAGACGGAGTGTCTTCGAATGCTCAAACATCTTTCTAAAAGAGTCCGTGTTCCGGGAATTTCTGGTTATTATGGAATTAAAAAATTTTGTTTGAAAAATGCATGCCTGATATTCTGCACTGTTTCAAGCTCAGAGAAATTGCATACTGAAGGAATGAAGCCGTTTGAATTGTTGGTTATTGATGAAGCTGCTCAGCTTAAAGAATGCGAATCAGCTATTCCTTTGCAGCTCCTTGGGCTCCGTCATGCTATATTTATTGGCGATGAGCGCCAACTTCCTGCAATGGTTCAAAGCAAGGTTTTTAATTCGATCTTCTTTTTGTTCATTAATCAATTATTTTTTTAGTTCGGAAACAACCTCTTCACGTGTGGAGGTGCAATGGTGGGAGCCTCGTGCATTGGACTAACCATTTTAATCAATTATTATTTTAGTAATCTATTGTTTATTTACATCCCAAGATTTTCATTTTGATAGATTTGCGAGGAGGCTGAATTTGGAAGAAGCTTATTCGAGAGGCTAGTATCGCTAGGACACACAAGGCACCTTCTTAATGTCCAATATAGGATGCATCCATCAATAAGCTTATTTCCAAACATGGAGTTCTATGATAAAAGAATTTTTGATGCTCCAAATGTAAAAAATAGAACTTATAAAAGGCATTTCCTCCAAGGAAAGATGTATGGCTCCTACTCTTTTATTAATGTAATTGATGGAAAAGAGGAATTTGGTGGTGGACATAGCAGCAAAAATATGGTGGAGGTTGCTGTGGTAGCTGAGATAGTTGCAAGCCTCTATAAAGGTAGTTTTTTCTATCACCAACTGATCCAAATCTATGTGAACATAAGGAATCATTACTGGAAATATTAATATTTGATGTTTCAGTCACTCAATTTGCTTGTTGAATCTTGATCAAGACATACTATTTTGGTGGCTTAGTTTATTTGTTGAATCATGACAAAAATGTTGTAAAATTCGGACGAGTTTTTTTGTGTTACAGAATATGTTGCTAGAAAACAGAAGGTCAGTATTGGCTGTATATCGCCATACAAGGCTCAGGTTTTCGCAATTCAAGAGAAACTCGGAAATACATACAGTGCAGATGCCGAAAGTGACTTCTCTGTGAAAGTTCGCTCTGTTGATGGGTTTCAGGGAAGTGAGGAGGATGTGATAATTATCTCTACAGTCAGATCCAATGCGCGTGGATCAGTGGGTTTCCTCTCCAATCGTCAGAGAGCTAATGTGGCTCTGACACGAGCGAGGTATTAAGTTTGCATATCAGGTCATAGTGATAACCATCTCTTCACTGAAATTAATCAGGATGTTTGTGCTCTTTGGGTAGGTATTGCCTCTGGATATTGGGGAATGGAGCAACCTTAATTAACAGCGACTCTGTTTGGAGTAAATTAGTCGACAATGCCAAGAACCGGGGTTGTTTTTTTAATGCTAATGAAGAGAAAAATTTGGCTCAAGCTATTACCACTTCCTTAATTGAGCTTAACCAACTAGATACTTTACTCAAGATGAATTCCCTACTGTTCAGAGAGGCGAGGTGGAAGGTATGTTGTTCTTGTTTGCCATCTTTCTAATAGATACTATATCTTTTCATCTTGAATATTTATTGGTAATAGAAATGCTTTGGTCAAAAGCATTAGAATATAATCTTTCAATTTTTTATTTTATTTTTCTACTAACCTTTCTTTTTGGTTGTAGGTTTGCTTTAGTAATGATTTCTTGAGGACCATGGCCGGAATTAAGAACCCAAATACGCGTAAGGAAGTGCTTTCTCTTTTGACAAAGCTTTCAAGTGGTTGGCGTCTGCCTCAAGGGAATAGAATTCTCAAGGATATGAATGGGATTTCTTCTCAACTGTTAGAGCAGTACAATGTCAATGGGCAGCTAAATCTCATTTGGACTGTATGCATTCTCAGGGAAAATTCGAAGTACATCCAGATTATTAAGGTTTTGAATGTTTTGCCGTTGTCTAAGATACCAGAACTAGCAAATCGTCTTGACATCTCGTTTGGGAAACTTACAGTGGATACGATGCATCGTTGCAAATGCAAATGTGTCGAAGGGTATGCATACCGTACTCTTTATTTTTGATATATCTTCTTGCTGCCACATATTTTGGTTTAAAAGTTTGAACCATTTTCATTACTTATAGTAATGACAGTAAGAGTGGTATATAATTGGTATTTGATATGTTGGGTGGAAGTATGGTAATATCTTATAAGGTCTTTGCTTGTGAAGCATATGTTGATGTTGTCTCAAAATTTCTTTTGACGAGGGTTTAGTCCAACAATTAATGGTAGTGCCACAACCTCCACTATTTCAACGGTGGCACAACTATTGATAGAACCTCTGCCAACATCTGCACGCCCTTTTGCTCAATCCCTTCTACAAGCTTAATTCACTGTTGCTCGTGAAAATTTCTCGTATTGCCTTTTCCTGTTTTCCATATCTTCTATATAACGAGCCAATAGCATGACAAATTTTCTTCTAATTTTTTTTTTCATCACTACGCAAAGCAAATATAAAATTCCAGTGCCACCACAACAGCTGCTATCTAAACTCCTTGAGACTCAAAACTAACCCTTCTTTCTTCTCTTTACCTCTCTCTTTGTATGCGTGTGTGTGTGTGCTGCCAGAACCATCCATATGTTGCAGCAGCCTGCCTGCTGTGATGTTTGTTCTATACGGTTTAGAAATTTTTTATCATGTGGGCACTCACATGTCGAGAGGCTGGGAGGATGCACACTCAATGCAATGGCTTAGAGTGCCCTAATGGATAGACTTGCTCTTTATTTATATATGAATAGGCAATTTGGATTTTGGAAGAGAAATTTTTAGTCTACTACTAGCACAAATTAGGGGCCAACGGTTAGAAAATATGTTTCTAAAAAGACTTGATTTTTTCAATTGCTACAGGAATTTAGTGGTTCCAATGGAATGGCCAGCAGATTCCACTGCTAATCGGAAGACTAAAGGTGCCAAGACTGATTCTTCTGAGCTTTTACAAAGTCAATTTGCTTCACTTAGTCTTAGTGATGCAGCGGGATCGTCAGCTATGAGTTCCGGGTGAGTCCTTGGTATAAATTATTATTCGGTACAACAATCTGCCAAGATATGATGCATAGTATAATGTGTCCACGTTTAGAAATGTGCAACCAGATGGAAATTTATCAAAACTGCCAAGATATGTGTTAGAAAAAGCTTGTGCGAATTGCTGAAACAGTTTTCTATTTTTTGTTTTCGTTTCATTAATGGATATCAGAAGTCATACCAAGTCCAACAAGAAGAGTGGAGTAAAAAATGTGGCCAAGACGAACAAAAGGAGAGTGAGGTTACATAAATGAGGTTCGTTTCCTGTTTTCCTATTCTTTTTTCTTTTTTAATTATTATTTATTTTCCTGAAGAAACAAATTTTACTGATCATTTTACAATGAATCATGTAACTGTTTATGCTGCTTATAGTGGCCAGTAATAGCATACTGATTCCCCAGCCCCATCCCCATAAAGAAAAAGACACACACACACACACAGTTTTTTTTTTTTTTTTTTTTTTTTTTGACAAAAATGCATAAAATTCCCCTTCAATTATCAAAAATTAGCATTTTACCTTCTTGCAGTTTTTCAGGCTCGTTTCCTGTTACCGTCATTATACATTTACAAAAATGCCCATTATAATTAACATTTAACAAAAGGCAAATAAAATTAACATTAAGTCAGTATCACAACTATAAAAAATGTGCAATTTTACCTCCTTGCAGTTTTTCAGGCTCGTTTCCTGTTACCGTCATTGTACATTTACAAAAATGCCCATTATAATTAACATTTAACAAAAGGCAAATAAAATTAAAATTAAGAAATACCATCAATACCCTCGTGCAATATAGGTCTTATATTTAGCTAGGCACACCGTCTTCCATTCTGACTCTTATTGATATGAAAGAAGGTTGTCAATGGGGAAAGAGAGAAGACCTCAATGGAAACGATTAATAAGGCCAGAAGGGAGTCAAAAATCTTCTCATCCACCGTTTCCGATAAATGCGGAAATGGGGGTTCTTTTTCGCGGCCAAACAGGGGTGACTTCACGGTCGCCAAAGAAGCCCCAACAAGGAAACTGATGGGTGTCTTGATTGGGCTCATGTTTCGTGATAGAAATTCCACGGAGTGTAAAATCGAGAGTGTGACTGAGGAAAGGTCTTCAGTACTTAGAGAAGAGAAGAGGAAAAGTCGCGATGCTAGGGTTTGTGAGTGTGACTGAGATTTAGGGGCTCTGAACTACGATTTCTAGGGTTTTCTTGGGTGAATTTTTGAACAGTGTTTAGGAAGAAGGAATTAGGTTTGTGATAATCGATCGTGGAAGAAGAAATTGGTTTTGATTTTTGTAGTGTGTGTTGTGTGTATATAATTGAAGCAACGAAGATTTGATTTTCTGATCTAAGACACGGTTAGGGTTTGAAAGTGGACGTCATGGAAGAGAGAGCCTGGAAGAGATGGTAAAGTGTTTCCGGGTTTATTTTAGGTTAAAAAATGCATAAAACCCAAACGCACAAATCTATTTTGTTTGAGAAATTCTACGAACATCAAACCTGGACAACTAAAAAATAGAAGGAATGAATATAATATTATTATACACACGTATATAATGTATTTGTATATTACTCCATATCTGTGTAGTATGAGCATTCCTAAAAAAAAAAAAAAGAGTTTAAAAATATTGTAAATTGTACTACCTAATGGCCTAATTAGTTTTAAAGAAAATATGTGTATTATTTCTCCTTTTTTAAAAGTAATTATACGTGTATAAAAAGCCATCAAGGGCAATTATGAAATTGTTTAAAAAGTAAACTCACGTGCTCCATTTGTTGCCGGAAATGAGTTGGAAAGAACTGCCAGGAATTGACTTGTTCAATTTTGTAATTCAGGGAAGTAAAATGCTGATTTTTAGTAGTTGGGTGGGGGTTTTATACTTTTTTGCCTTTTTTTTTTTTTTTTTTCCTTCAAAAATTTCCCAATGTTTTAGATCACTTTCCATATAATTATATAAATCTAAACTCTCCTTGTGTTATTTGGGTGCAGGTGCAAGCTGATGAATTGCATACTGATGAATATTTGGACACTTTACGGCATGTCATACTGTTTTGAGCTCAAGTGCTCTCCATTGGTTAAAAAGATTTGAAACCGTTCATTCTCATATATACTAAAAATGTGGTATTCAAAGTTATACATATATATATATATATAAAATAGACTGTGTGTCCTTTTTGTGAATTTGTGTAATGAGATTGTGCATACAGTGGAAAATTTGTGACGTGTTTTTATTATTAGATAGATCCATGGAGATGTTTGGAGAAAAAAAAAAAAAAAAAAATTAGAGAAAATTCAATTTCAATAATGAGAGAGGGAAGACCTTGCTTGGTGACTTAGTCAAATTGAGACTGTCTGATTAAAAAAAATAAAAATAGATTCACAAGAGTGTAATGATCTGGTAAGTCAAAGTAATATTTTCAAAACAAATCTCAATTCAAAATCATTTAGAGAACTTGCTTATGACTATTTTCCTTCTATCTAAACGAGGCTTGGGAGGAAATAATCGTCATCGCGATTAGTGGTTTATAAGAAAAAACATTGCAGTTACAGTTTTCTCTAGGGGTGACAATTAGATGAGTTTGAGTGAGTTCTGGATTGATAATGAATGGGTGGGACAGTAATAGATCACTAATCCATCATCAACTCATTTATGGTGGATTATCAATGGGTTAAGTGTTAAATGGGCTGAGCTAAATTCATACTCAACCCAATTATGGAATGTTTTTAGAAATAAATTGTCAAATATTTTTAATTCTTGAGGAGAGAGAGAGAAAGGAAAGAGAGAAAAAAAAGGGAAAGATAAGAGAAAGCAGAGGATAAAAAAAAAATAAAAGGAGAAAGCGAGATATAAAAGGAGAAAGCGAGATATGGGAGAGAAAAAAAGGTTTTGTTTGTGCAGGTTGAAATGTGTACCCACTATTCATCAATTATTTATCAATGAATATAATGAATATCCATTTTTTACTCATTAGTATAAATTAATTACTCAAATAATTTAATTTTAATAGATAAATTTGAACGGTTTAATAGATTTGGTCACTAATTTTCCCCTTTGGGATAGAAGAAGGAATATGTAAAATACAGTAGTACTCTGCTTCTTCTCCATTTCCTTTCCAAACAAGAAAACCAAAGGTCGTCAGTCGTCACTCCTCCCTTGAGATGGTCCCACAAATACTTTAATTATTAACCTTAAAAGGTAGGAAAAGTATACACTACTAAACAGCCGACCAATTTGAACACTCTATTTACCTCGATAATAATAGTAAATGGGATGTTTAATTGACAATTTCTAGAATATTCTGGTACCGCAGGGTAGGGTTTTTCGGCCATTGAACGTGGTGATGAGATTTAATGGCTGGAAGATCTGAGATATTGTACTCGAATATTGTAGAACTTCTTGTTTTAATTGGGTAAGTATTTAAAAATTATTACCTAATATGAAAAAAGTTTAAATGTTCAGATTGTAGTAATGATGTGGTATCACTTGGTTAAAAACGGACACATAAGTGAATATCCAGCTATTTGAGTTGGTCTTATGAATATATGTCCGTATTTAAATAGTGGGTGGTTCTAAATTATCACTTTAATTAGAGTCTTATTACTTTGTGTGTGTATTTAAGTAGTGAGTGATACCATATTATTACTTTAACTAGAAAAACTTGATTGTTCCTGTTGCCCATGCTAACATGGAGGGTTCAATGTGGCGCAACCAATTGTTTTTTTCACTTTTAACCGACCATTTAAGTTTTTATCGGTACCCAGTAACTTTGCAAATGGCGCTTTCCTTTTCACTTCCCCTTAGTATTCTTCTTTCCGAAGACACTCTATTTCCTTTACCTTTCTGCTTCTAATAACTTTGTTTAGTGTGCTTCACAATCTCTCTCTCTCTCTCTCTCTCTCTATAAACACACAAACACACTACTTTAATTTTGTTAAGTACTTTCTTTCTATCCAACTCATTAGTACGGGATTTCTTTTTTGATGACCTTTCAGGGTCTCGTTGGAGCTTTGGAAGATAAAAAAAAAAAGCACACTAATATATTGGTGATATAGCTTTCTTTCAAAACGGACATGCAATAGTAGTACTACTGGCATTGTTGGTTTTCTTTTCTTCCTCAATCTCATTACTTTACTTCCCTGGTAAGCGATCTCTCTCTCTCCCTCTCTCTATATATATATATATATATGTATATGTATATGTATGCATATCTGTGTGTGTTTTTGTGTTTTGGCAGAGTTCATAGTTTTAGGGAAGAAGAGGAGTGATGATGATGGGGAGTGTGAAGAAAACAGAATCCAAATATACGAGCTTGACAGATTATGTTTTCTCATGGTCTATTGCTGATGTGCTTAACAAAGATCTTTACAAGCCTAAGGTTTGAGCCACAATTACCCTTTTAAGTCTCATTGCTCTTCTATCTTCTCATTTAATTTGTTATAAATAGCATGGTTTGAACACACACACACAAATGTCACATGTATATATATATTCACCTTTTGTGGTAATTTCTAAATGAAGGCGAATACCATTCTGGATTAGTAGCAACAAATACAAATAGAACTGGCCAAGCGAGGTAACAATAATTTTATATGTTATTATATATATATGTATACAAGTGTGGTGACAATAATTTTATATGTTATTATATATATATGTATACAGTAGTGTTTAACCATATAGATTAGCAAGAAAAAATATATTCACTTTCAATTATAGCCTTAGATCTAATCCTACAGTTAATATAATCCTTTTTTAGGAGGCTGATATTATTTGAATTAATAATTAATTAAAATTGAGGTAAATGGACAATAGTAATCAGTTTTATAAGATGAAATAAATCAATTTTGTTTAATACAACCTTTTTAAGATTTGGTTGATTAACCGTGAATGGAAGAATATCATTTTCATCAAAATCATATATAAAAACTTTTTTTTTTAAAGATAAAAAGTTAAGAATATAACAAGAAAAGTTTTATTTATTTATTTATTGTTTTTTTGCCAATCTTATTTTTCCCTATCAATTAAATATGTCTTCATATTCTACCAAAAAAAAAAAATTTGTTGTTATATACTCTTCCTTAACTTGTTATCTTTTTTTTAAAAAAAAAAATAATAATAATAATAAAAATTCATGTTGTGCTAATTAGGTAGTAAATTCATTTAAGATGTGAAGATGTGTTTAATTGATAGAGAAAAATAAGATTAGCAAACGCAAAAAAAAATATAATAATAATAATAATAACAATAATAATAAATAAATAAATTTCTTATAGTCTTTCTTAATTTTTTTTCTTTCAAAAAAAAGTTTTCATGTGATGCTAATTAGGTAGTAAACTCTTTTAGGATGTGAAGACGTGTTTAATTGATAGAGAAAAATAAGATTACAAAACACCAAAAAAAAAAAAAAAAAAAAAAAAAAAAAAAAAAAAAAAAAAAAATCTTGTTATACTCTTCCTTAACTTAACTTTTTTTCTTTCAAAAAAAAGTTTTCATGTGGTGCTAATTAGTTAGTAAATTCTTGAATACATGTTTAATTGATAGAGAAAAATAAGATTAGCAAAAATAAAAATAAAAAAAAAACTTTTTTTGTTATACTCTTCCTAAACTTTTTTTGTTTCAAAAAAAAAGTTTTTTTAGGTAGTAAATTCTTGAATTCGTGTTTAATTGATGGAGAAAAATAAGATTAGCAAAAAATAAAAAAAATAAAAAAAATAAAACTTTTTCTTGTTATACTCTTCCTTAATTTATATATATATACATTTTAAAAAATTCATATATGATTTCGATGGAAGAGATATATTCACGGTTAATCAACCATCCTTAAAGGACTATGTGACTATGTCAAACAAAACATAATTATATTTTATTTTATGAAACCGTCTATTGTAGTCATTTTATTTCAATTGTAATTAATTATTAATTCAAATAATATCACTTCCATAGTGCAAGGATTATATTAGCAGTAAGATTAAATTCTAATATAATTGAAAGTGAGTATATTTTTTCTTGTTCATCAGAAAGAAGTACGTTTTAGAGTAATAAAGTAATCTCTTATCCAAGGTGAAGTATCAAACTATCAATACATGGACAAAATAGGTGATAACAGTAAATTTAGTGTTACCATGTTGCTCCTTCTGATATCTCCTTAATTGAACTGAACTTTAGAAATTTTGATGGTTGTCTTCATCATTGATTCAGAGAAAACAGACGCATAAATCAGGTCGCTTAGCTCATCGACTATAATGAACGAAAATGCACCGCCCACAGATTGAATCAAAAACATGTTATTGATATTCTATGGCTATTGTGTATATTGATTCATGACATTAAACATGAAATTTTGACAGGTAAGGGAAATCCCGAAGACTTTTGCTTCGACAGGTGATTACATGGACTCATTCATTTATCCTCTTATTGAGGAAACACGTGCAGATTTGTTCTCAAGCATCACAACAGTCTTTCATGCACCTACCCGTGAAATTTTGGCCGTTAAAATATCTAAACATAATTATAAGCCTCCCAAAGAATTGTATTACAATATATTTTTCAGCAGAAGGAGAGGAATGTATAAGCCTGAGGTGGGAGACCTCATTGCCTTGACAGGAGTGAGTCCGAAATGCATTGATGATTTGAACAGGCCTAAACGTCCCTACCTTGTTGCTTTAGTTGAAGGAAAAAAAATACGGGTCCCAGGGGATGATTTTTCTGTGAAATATTCAATCCTCGCATCGAATGAAATCATTTTCAATGAAGAAACAGGAAAGGATAAGAAGAAAGACACTCTTTTTGCTGTTTATCTTACAAACATGACGACAAACATTCGTATATGGAAGGCACTGAACTACCAGCTGGAAGGAGGAAACATGAAGATCATAAGGGAAGTGCTGCACACTGATGCCACTGTAAGAATCAGAAGTCTACTTCTTTACTTAATTCGAGTTACATCTTTTGAATTGCAATTCTTTCCTCCTCAATTATATTCCTAATTTTCATTTTTGATTTATGCCTACTAAATTCAGGTTAATTAAACATATATACGTTTACATGCATAACTGTGCTATATATGTCGTATCTAAATCTTCCAGGTTGGGACAAACTGTACTCAGTGCCAATCTGAAGAGCGTATGAATGCTGTTATATCAAATGCAAGGGATGCCGTTTCCTCTTTTAAGCTGGATGATTCCCAAAAGGATGCTATTGTGAGCTGCATTGCTACAAGAGAATGCTATCACCAGAATTCTGTCAAACTAATTTGGGGACCTCCAGGGACTGGGAAAACGAAGACGGTCGCTTCATTGTTATCTGCTCTCTTAAAGATGAAATGCACAACTCTGACATGTGCCCCAACTAATATTGCAGTGTTAGGAGTTACTGCGCGGCTTATGGGATTGGTATGGGATGCACTTGAATATGAATCATATGATACTTATGGGTTGGGAGATATAGTATTATTTGGTAATAGGAAGCGAATGAAGATTGATGATCATGATGACCTTTTCGATGTATTTCTTGATCACCGTGTTGCATTTCTGGAAAGTTGTTGTGCTCCATTGACCGGATGGAATAATAGTATAAAATCGATGATATGTCTGCTGGAAGATCCTGAAGAACAGTACAGTTTGTATTTGAAAAAGGTAAAAGAGAAAGATGACGAGGATAATGACGATGAAAAGGAAGAGGAGGGGCAGGAGGGATTGTTTGGTAATGATAAGTTAAATTGGAGTCCAGAGAAAGAGAATGAGATCTATGATCGAGACTCCAGAGAAATGGTGAAGAAGAGAGTTTTGAAGAAGGTTTTAGCTAAAATCTTGAAGGGAAACAGGAACAAGAAAAGGCAGGACAAGCCACCTTCTCGGGGAAATAATCATTCGAGATGTGAAGAAAAAGATAATAATGTTGATCTTTCTCCGAAGAAAGAAAAATGCGAGGCAAGTGATAAGCCTGTTCATATTATGACATTTGAGGAGTTTATCAAGAAGACATTCATTTCCATCGGAGAAAGGCTGACATTTTGTATTACAACTTTGTATACTCACATGCCCACATCTTTTATTTCATTGGAAGTAGTAAAGGACATGATTACAGTTCTTGGTTTGCTTGAATCTATATTGCATAGTGTAGCTTTTGCACGTGAAGGATTAAGAGAAGTCTTCAATGGAACTGGAGATGTAGGATACAGTGTTAAACACCTTTTGAAGTTGAGATTGTATCAGAAGGAGTGTCTTCGAATACTCAAACATCTTTCTGAAAGTGTCGAAGTTCCGAATTTTTCTGGTATTCGAAGTTTTTGTTTGCAAAATGCATGTCTGATATTCTGCACTGCTTCAAGCTCAGCAAATTTGCATACTGAAGGACTGACGCCGGTTGAATTGTTGGTTATTGATGAAGCTGCTCAGCTTAAAGAATGTGAATCGGCCATTCCTTTGCAGCTCCCTAGTCTCCGTCATGCTATACTTATTGGTGATGAGCGCCAACTTCCTGCAATGGTTCAAAGCAAGGTTTGTAATTTGATCTTCAATTTGTTCATTAATCAATTATTATTTTAGTTAGGTAACGACCTCTTCACATGTGGAGCTACATACATCTTGCCATTCCCAAACCTCGCAATGACAGGAGCCTACTAGCCATTTTAATCAATTTTTATTTTAATAATTATTCTTTTGCTTACATCCCAAGATTTTCGTTGGTAGATTTGCGAGGAGGCTGAATTTGGAAGGAGCTTATTCGAGAGGCTGGTATCACTAGGACACACAAGGCACCTTCTTAATGTCCAATATAGGATGCATCCATCAATAAGCTTATTTCCAAACATGGAGTTCTATGATAAAAGGATTTTTGATGCTCCAAATGTAAAAGAAAGAACCTATGAAAGGCATTTCCTCCAAGGAAAGATTTATGGCTCCTACTCTTTTATAAATGTTACCGACGGAAAAGAGGACTTCGGTGGGCATAGCAGGAAAAATATGGTAGAGGTTGCTGTGGTAGCTGAGTTAGTCGCAAGCCTCTATAAAGGTAGTGCTTTCTTTCACCGACTGATCCAAATCTATGTAAACATAACAATCAATATTACTGGAAAGATTAATATACAATGTTTCAGTCACTCAATTTGCTTGTCGAATCTTGATTAAGACATACTATTCTGGTGGCTTAGTTTGCTTATTGAATCATGATAAAAATGTTGTAAAATTCTGACTAGTTTTTTCGTGTTACAGAATATGTTGCTAGAAAACAGAAGGTTAGCATTGGCTGTATATCGCCATACAAGGCTCAGGTTTTCGCAATTCAAGAGAAACTCGGAAATACATACAGTGCAGATGCCGAAAGTGACTTCTCTGTGAAAGTTCGCTCTGTTGATGGGTTTCAGGGTAGTGAGGAGGATGTGATAATTATCTCTACAGTCAGATCCAATGCCAGTGGATCAGTGGGGTTTCTTTCTAATCGGCAGAGAGCTAATGTGGCTCTGACACGAGCGAGGTATTAATTTTGCATATCAGAACATAGTGATAACCATCTCTTCATTGAAATTTAATCTGCATGTTTGTGTTCTTTGTGTAGGTATTGCCTCTGGATATTGGGGAATGGAGCAACCTTAATTAACAGCCGCTCTGTTTGGAGTAAATTAGTCATGGATGCCAAGTCTCGGGGTTGCTTTTTTAATGCTAATGAAGATAAAAATTTGGCTCAAGCTATTACCACTTCCTTAATTGAGCTTAACCAACTAGATACTTTACTCAACATGAATTCCCCATTGTTCAGAGAGGCGAGGTGGAAGGTGTTCCGTCTTTGTTTGTTGTCTTTCTAATAGACACTCTTTATCTTTCTATGTCGAATATTTACTGTTTATGGAAATGCTCTGGTCAGAGGCATTAGAACTTAATCTTAAATGTTTGAGTGGTTCAAATTATTTTTTCTTTTTTTGTTGTAGGTTTGCTTTAGTAATAATTTCTTGAGGACCATGGCCAGAATTAGGAACCTAGAGACCAGTCAGGAAGTGCTTTCTCTTTTGACAAAGCTTTCAAGTGGATGGCGTCTGCCTCAAGAGGATAGAATTCTCAGTGACATGAATGGGATTTCTTCTGAACTGTTAGAGCAGTACAATGTCAGTGGCCTGCTAAATCTCATTTGGTCTGTATGTATTCTCGACGAAAATTCAAAGTACATCCAGGCTATTAAGGTTTGGGGTCTTTTGCCGTTGTCTGAGATACCAGAACTAGCAAAGCATCTTGACGTCTCATTCGGGAATCTTACAGTGGTTACTATGCGTCGCTGCAAATGCAAACATGTTGAAGGGTATACTATGCATACCATACTCTCGAATTTTGATATATTGTCTACCTGCCACTTATTTTTGTTTAATAGTTTGATTAGGATAACAAACCACATTCACTACTTAGGGTAGTAGACTTGCTCTTTAGTTTTATATGCATAGGCAATTTGGATTTTGTGAAATAAATTTTTGCTTTATTACTTGAACAAATGAGAGGCAACTCATAAAAAATATGCTTATAAAAAGACTTGATTTTTTTTTTTTTTTGTTTTTCTTTTTCAATTGCTATAGGAATTTAGTAGTTCCAATTACATGGCCGGCAGATTCCACTGCTAATTGGAAGACTACCGATGCCGAGACTGATTCTTCCGAGCTTTTACAAAGTCGATTTGATTCACTTAGTCTCAGTGATGCAGCAGGATCATCAGCTATGAGTTACAGGTGAGTAATTTGTATAAATTATTATTCGGTACAACAATGTGCCAAGATATGATGCACAGTAAAATGTGCAACCAGATGGAAATTTATCAAAACTGCCAAGATATGATGCATGGTTTTAATGCTGTGAACTGGGAAAGAAACTTGGCTTTATGTAAATATATTTTTTTGGGATATCATTTTTCGTTTTGTTTTCCTTTCTGAACTTAATGGTGGTTGCTCAGAAAAATTAAGCAGGGAACTCATTTTCTTTTTCTTCTTTTACCTTTTTTCTCATCAATATGTGTTAGAAAGCATGTGCGAATTGCTGAAACAGTTTTGTATTTTTTTTTTTTCATGGATGTCAGAAACCAGATGAAGAGTGGAGCAAAAACCTTTGGCAACAAGAACAGATGGTAGAGGTTGCAAAATTGAGGTTTGTTTCCTTCCTGTTTAATTTCTTGTTCTTTATTTAGTTATTATGAAGAAACAAATTGGAACTTGTTTATGCTGCTTATAGTGGCCATTAATAGCATACCAATTCCCCAACCCTATCCCAAAACTAAAAAAAGGAAAAGAGTTATTTCTTTTAAAGAGAGACAAAAATAAATAAATAAATAAAAATAAAAGACATACTTGCAAAGGATAAAAACCAATAACTTTTGTATTCTGTGTGGATCAGAGCCACAAGGGTTCACAGTGATATTTCATAATTTGTCATGTACAACTGCTGGAAGATGTTACAGAATAAAATGCCGCTGGAGAAATTTTTTTTATTTTCTTCATGTTCTTCAAATTTTCTTCATGTTCTAAACCACTGTCCATAATATAAATCTAAACTCTTCTAGGGTTATTTGGGTGCAGGTGTGAGGGATGACGGTCCAGAACACCTCATACAGGCTACCGCGATCACTTGAATTCCTTAGCCAAGCTGAATTGCAAACTGATGGTTTTTTGGACGTACATTTTATGGCATGGAAATACTGTTTTTGAGCATAAGTGCTCTCCATTGGTAAAAAAAAATATTTGAAACCGTTTCATTCTCATGTACTAAAAATGCGGTATTCAAAATTACAAGTGTATAGACTCTGTCCTTTTTGTGTATTTGTGTAATGACTCGTGAGATTGTGCATGGAGTGGAAAATTTGTAATGTTTATTGTAATTAAAGATTCCGTGTCTATTTTGAAATGAGGGGTAGTGTAGGGATTTAGCATGTTAACGAGGGGTGGCAATATAAGTCCAAACCTATTAAATCGTTCACTAAAATTAAATAATTTGAATATTCAAATTCAATTTAGTGGGTAACTAATGGATAAAAAGTGAATACCCATTCAATTCAAGGGTTAATGGTAAATTAAGACTTGAATGTGAGAACTCATCTTAACCCGTTCAAACAAAAAAAAAAAAAATTTCTTTTTTTTTTTCCTCTTTTTTTCTCCCTCTCTGTTTTTTCTCTTTTTCTGTCATAAAAAAATAATAATAAAAATTAAAATTAAAATTAACGCTTGAAATAAAAAAATTAATAAATATATATATATATATATATTGTTATTCAACAATCATAATAGTAATAATATTATTGGAGGCGTAGGTATTCTAATATTGTTAATAATTTATATATATATATATATATATATATATATATATATATATATTGTTATTCAACAATCATAATAGTAATAATATTATTGGAGGCGTAGGTATTCTAATATTGTCAATAATTTAATATTAATAGTTTTTGTTTTTATCTCTTTCTATTCTTATTTTTATTTCTCCACCTCTCTCCTCCTATTCTCTCTTCTCCTCCGTTTTCTCTCTCCCTCTATTTAGTTTTGGCTCTGATAACTCTCAAAATATGTTGTATAGTGACTTTTTAAATAAATAAAAATTTGTAACGAGTGAGGCACGGACCCACATTTACTTGTATGGTACATGAATAACTTGTGTTGGGTAATTTTCAAGTAATTGGGCGCGGAATTTTTTTTTTTTTTTTTTAGTATTTTATCTTTGTAATTTGTTCATTTTTAGTAATATATTCATAAAATATTACATTTGCCTCTTCTAAAATTATTTTAAAATGCACTATTACCCCCAAAATTTATTTTTATTTCTTTCTCCTTACCTTACATCCTGGCTCCATCCCAGTTGGACACCGCGGTAAATAGCATGGCTTGGTTGATTAATTGCTTTCAACGAAAGCTGCATGTCATTTTCAGCTTTGTTTCCATCATTATTTCTGTGGTACTGCTACCAAATGCATTTTTGTCCCAACCCCAACTAAGATGAAATTGAAGAAAGGTATACAAAGTGTGACCGACTGTATAAAATTTTCCTATACCCTTGCATCATAAGACTTGTATCTTCTCCGTATTAGGTTCAAAATTATATTAAAAGCAAAGTGATACTTTTTCGTTTTTTTAAATAAAATATTAAAAATTCAAAATAATAAAATAAGTGTATATGATACTCCGTACAATGAAATCACCTATTCAGAAGATTCCAAACCCAAAATAAAAAAAAACAAGATCCCCTTTACAGGTGCTATTTGGTCAGCTAAAGTCAATTAAAAAAATTAAAATAACAAAACTATCCTCATGCAATAGAATTGCAAAAATAACTTCACCATATAAATAAAATTACTTTTATAGTAATTACGAGTTGGACCAAACTACCCCACCCTCAAACACTAAAATACTAGTAGTTGATTATAGAATGACCAAATCCACTGAGAAACATGAACGCCCTATATTTGAGACTCTTTTTTTTTTTTTTTTTTTTTGATATATTAAAAATCAAATAAATAATTTAATACAACTTTTATTTTAATAATTAAATATGGGCTTGTTCGGCTGCCGTAGACTATATTTTTTTGATATATTAAAAATCAAATAAATAATTTAATACAACTTTTATTTTAATAATTAAATATGGGCTTGTTCGGCTGTCGTAGACTCTGCAAGACTTTAGAGTCGTTGGGTCGGCAAGCACAGTGCACTTGCTGCAGTTTCCCCATTAGAGGAGAGAAGAAGGATCATGGAAAATAGTAGGCTGCTTCTTCTCCATTTCCTCCTATTCCATCCAAACCAAAAGTCAAGACTCCTCCCTTTAAATGGTCCCTACATTTTAATGATTTTATGTACCCCGCGTTCCTCAATTTTCATCCTTAGTATTCTTTTGTAGGACCCTCTCTTATCTTTAACTTTCTGCTTCCAATAACTTTGTTCAATTTACTAAGTGTGTATACATATATATATATATATATTTCTTGTGGACGAAGAGAGAGAAGGGCAGGTGGGTTCCACACAGACGTGGGAAAAGCCATACTTTAATTTGGTTGACTTGTCGTCAACCTCGTCTTTGTTTGCATCTACATCATACACACTTCATTATTCGCTCATTAATTCGTACGGCATTTTTCTTTTTCGACCGCCCTTTGAGGTTGGGGATATATATATTCGTTTGTGCTTTGGAACGTACCAAGAAAGCACATTTGGTATCAATCGACGTGCAATAGTACTACTACTTGTCTCGTTGGTTCTCTTCCTCATTCAGATTGCTTCCCTAGTAAGCGATCTCTCTCTCTCTATATATATATATGCTGTGTGTGTGTGTTTTTGTGTTCTGGGGTTTACAAATATATAAGACTGAAAGTGGGTTTTGGCATTTTATAATTGTTTTAGGGAAAATGGGGAGCGTGAAGAGAACAGAGCCCAAGGGTACGAGGTTGACAGATATTGTTTTCTCTTGGTCTATTGCTGATGTGCTGAAAAGAGATCTTTACAAGCATAAGGTATGAGCCACAAAATTTATTTTCTTCTACATGACACTTCTCTTCCATTTTCTAATTTTATTTGTTATGAATATTGAATAGCATTGTTTGAAGTTTGAACACACACACTATATATCTAATATCTATACATGTTGTCACGTGTATTATGTATATTTTAACGGGATAAGTGTAGAAAATATTCCTAAATATACTTAGCTAAACACTTTTAATCCTATTTTAAAAAGTTTGCAAAAAATACTCCTAATTTTTTAATATTGTGCAAAATATACCCGATATAAATTAGTATTGTAATATCCCTTTTGCCCTTTTACTTTTCTGAAAATGCCCATAGAGTATATATATTACTAATCTCATAGTATAGGGATATTATGTGCACATTATCTTTTTTAAAAAAAAAAAAAAAACTTTTTCTCTATATATATTTTTAAACATTTTTTTAAAAACTTTGAGAATTTGAAGAACAAGAATTTGAATTTTTTGAGATTTCAGTATGACTTTTTTCTACTAAAATCTGCTTTTCTTTATTTTATTTTTTTCATACCAACACTATTAAAAAAAATATATATCCCCAATTAGTTTGCACTTTATTTTCGTTTTTTATTTCTATTTTTATCTTTGCTTTTCTTTTATACTTTTATTTTTATTTTTATCTTTACTTCTCCATTGTCGGCGTCCTCCAATTGTATTATTTTCGGTCATTTTATAAAATTATTTATTTTTATATATATTATAAAATGGTTCAGTAAGAGTAATTTAGTAAACTTAGGGTTTAAATTTGTCAAAGGGATCTATTTGCACCAGATTGAAACTTTAGCTGTGTTTTTTGCACGTGAGGGACATCCTCTAATAGTGTCATTTTCAATTATTTTACAAAATTATTCATTTTTATATATTTTATAAAATGCTTCAGTATGGGGTAATTTAATCAACTTATGGTTTAAATTTATCAGATGGATCTATTTGTACCAAATTGAAATTTTAGGAATATTTTTTGCACATAAATGATGTGATATGCATTATAAATATATTTTAGGGTTGTTTTATGCACTTGAACATATTTTAACTCAAAAGGTAATATATCTGCATGAATGTTAATACCATTCTAAGCTAGTAATAACACAAGCATTAATTTAAATTTTATGTTATTACATGTATATATATTCACTTGTTAAAGTAATCTAGCATGAATATGTGTTTATTTCATTCAAGATAAGGTATCAATACATGGTCAAAAGAGGTAATACAGAAAATTCGGTTACAATTTGTTTCTTCTGATATCTCCTTAATTGAAAATGGTTCTTGTAGCTTTTTGTTGTTGAATAAAATCTAGAAAAAAAAATGATTGTCTTGATCATTGATTTTCAATAGAAGGTACCAAAACTAACCTGGAATGAAATTATTAGAAATAAATTTTAAAAGCATATTAGGTGATATGACAGGTAATAAAAACATATTAGGTGATATGAGAGGTAATAAAAATGAATGATAACAGAGAATTTATGTGACCGATCCCATTTGTATGAGAATAAGAAAAGGGTAATGATTAAAATAATGTAGATGGAGAAATTAAATAGATGCATAAATCATCAATTACAAGTTATAATTAATGAAAATGAAATGCCAACGTCTTTACATATGATGGTCATTGGATGTGTGCGTATATTTGTATATGGGTAAATTGTATATTCATTTACTCTCTTTACTAATATGACATGACATAAATTGGTTGGAAATTGAAGGTAGTCACCCATACAACACTAAACATGAAATTTTACAGGTAATGGAAATTCCGAAGACATTTTCTACGACAGGTGATTACATGAAGTCATTCATCTTCCCTCTTATTGAGGAAACACATGCCGATTTACTCTCAAACATAAAATCAGTGTCTCGTGCACCTACCTGTAAAATTTTGGATGTTCATATATCTAAAGATTATGAGCCTCCAAAAGACTTGTATTATGACATCTTTTTCAAGAGAGATACTGAAAATGATAGAGTCAATGAGCCAGAGGTGGGAAATACTGAGAATGATAAAGGAATGTATGAGCCTGAGGCGGGAGATCTCATTGCCTTGACAGAAGGGAGACCGAAATGCATTAATGATTTGAACACGTCTAAACGTCCCTATCTTGTTGCTTTAGTTCATAAAAAAGGGGCATCGGATTTTGATAAACTTACAATCCTTTCATCCAAGCCCATCATCTTTAATCGAGAAATGAAAGAGGATAAGAAGAGAGAGACTCTTTTTGCTGTTTATCTTACAAACATGACGACGAACATTCGTATATGGAAGGCACTGAACTCAGAGCTCGAAGGGAGAAACATGAACATCATAAGAAGTGTGCTGCTGCCAACTGATTCCACAGTAAGAATCAAAAGTTCATTTCTTTGCTTAATTGTTGAATATGCTGCCATGTGAATAATAAATACTATTTCATGTCACAACCCTTTTGAATTGCACTAGTTTTCATATTTTATTTATAATACTAAATTCAGGTTAATTGAAACAAATATATTAACATGCATAATTGAGCTATGCCATATTTAATTCTTACAGTTTGGGGCAAATTGTACTCGGTGCCAATCTGAAGAAAATATGAGTACTGGTATATCAAATGCAAGGGATGCTGTTTCCTCTTTTAAGCTGAATGATTCCCAAAAGGATGCTATTGTGAGTTGCATTGCTACAAGAGAATGCTATCATCAGAATTCTGTCAAGCTAATTTGGGGTCCTCCAGGGACTGGGAAGACGAAGACGGTTGCTTCGTTATTAGTTGCTCTGTTCAGGATGAAATGCAGGACACTGACATGTGCCCCAACTAATGTTGCAGTTATAGGAGTTACTGCGCGGCTTATGGGATTGGTACGGGATGCACTTGAATACAGTACTTACGGGTTGGGAGATATTGTGTTATTTGGTAATGGGGAGCGAATGAAGATTGATGATCATGATGAACTTTCTGATGTTTTCCTTGATAATCGAGTTTCCATTCTTGCAAATTGTTTGTCTGGATGGAAAAATAATGTAGTATCTATGATATGTCTGTTGGAAAAGTCTGAAGAGCAGTACCAATTGTATTTGGAAAAGGAAAAGGAAAAGGAAAAGGAAAAGGAGAGGGATGATGATGGAGATGACAAAGAAGAGGAGGAGGTGGAGGTGAAGGTGGAGGGAGTGTTTGGTGATGAAAAGTTACATAGCAGTCGAGAGAAAAAGGACAACATCTGTGATCATGATGACTTCATGAGGAAAGAGAAAAATTTGAAGAAGGCTGTTGCTCAAATCTTAAAGGAAAACAATAACAAGGAAGAAATTGACAAGCCGCTTTCTCGGAGCAAAAATCAGTTGAAATGTGATGAAAAAGAAAAAGGAGAGGCTAGTGATAAGGGTGATGCTATTTTGACATATGAGGTGTTTGTTAAAAAGGAATTTAATTACATTGGAAATCAGCTGACTCTTATTATTAAAAATTTGTATACTCATATGCCAACATCTTTTGTTTCGTTGGAAGTAGTAGAGAAAATGGTTAAAGCTCTTGGTTTGCTTGAATCTATCAGAGAACTACTGAATGGCGTTGCTTTTGCAAGTGAGGGATTAAGAGAAGTCCTCAATAGAAGTGAACATGTAGGAAACAGGGTTAAACACCTTACGAAATTGCAATTGGATCAGACAGAGTGTCTACAAATACTCAAATATCTTTCTGAAACGTTCTCTACTCCAAATTTTTCTGATTATTATAAAATTCGAGATTTTTGCTTGCAAAATGCATACTTGATATTCTGCACTGTTTCGAGCTCTGTTAAATTGCATACTGAAGGAATGACACCACTTGAATTGTTGGTTATTGATGAAGCTGCTCAGCTTAAAGAAAGTGAATCGACTATTCCTTTGCAGCTACCTGGTCTTCGTCATGCTATACTTGTTGGTGATGAGCGCCAACTTCCTGCAATGGTTCAAAGCAAGGTAATTTAATTCAATCTTATTTTTGTTCATTAATCAATTACTATTTTAGTAATCTATTCTTTTCCTTACATCCCAACATTTTCATTATTAGATTTCCGGAGACGCTGGATTTGGAAGAAGCTTGTTCGAGAGGCTAGTATTACTAGGACACAAAACACACCTTCTTAATGTCCAATATAGGATGCATCCATCAATAAGCTTATTTCCAAACAAGGAGTTCTATGGTAAACAAATTTCGGATGCTCCAAATGTAAAAGAAAGTACCTATGAGAGGCATTTCCTCCAAGGAAAGATGTATGGATCCTACTCTTTTATAAATGTAACCGATGCAAAAGAGGACTTGGGCGGGCATAGCAGGAAAAATATGGTGGAGGTTGCTGTGGTAGCTGAGATAGTTGCAAACCTCTATAGAGGTAGTTTAACTATCACAAACTATTTTGGTGGCTTAGTTTGTTGTGCTAATCATGATGAACAAGTTGTGAAATTCTGACTAGTTTTTTCGTGTTACAGAATCTGTTGCTAGAAAACAGAAGGTCAGTATTGGTTGTATATCGCCATACAAGGCTCAGGTTTTAGCAATTCAAGAAAAACTCGGAAAGAAATACAATTCAGATGCAGAAAGCGACTTCTCTGTGAATGTTCGCTCAATTGATGGCTTTCAGGGTAGCGAGGAGGATGTGATTATAATCTCTACAGTCAGATCCAATGCGAGTGGAGAAGTGGGCTTCCTTTCCAATCATCAGAGAACAAATGTGTCTCTGACACGAGCGAGGTATTAATTTCCATGTTAGAACATAGTGATATTTAATTATCTCAACACTGAAATTTAATCAGGATATTTGTGCTCTTTGTGTAGATATTGCCTCTGGATATTGGGGAATGAAGAAACCTTAACTGACAGGGGCTCTATTTGGAGCAAACTAGTCATGGATGCCAAGGCTCGGGATTGTTTTTTTAATGCTAATGAAGATGGGAATTTGGCTCAAGCTATTATCACTGCCTTAATTGAGCTTAACCAGCTTGATACTTTACTCAACATGAATTCCCTACTGTTCAGAGAGGCGAGGTGGAAGGTGTGTTATCTTTGTTTGTTATGTTCCTAATAGATGGTCCGATAATATTTGATAATTTTGTAAAAAAATCCAGTGAAAAGTTTCATTAACGCCTAATTCAAGTCGAGTAGATCTTCTTCTTGTGAGAATTCTTTTATGTCACCACAAACAGTGTTGGATTCAAAGCTCATGTTGACTTATTATACTCCTAAGTCCTAACTATGTATCTTTTGATGTTGCATACATTTTGGTAATAGAATTTGATCTTAAATGTTTGAGTGGTTCAAATTTATTTTTATTTTTATTTTTCTAAGAACCTTTCTTTTTTGTTGTAGGTTTGCTTTAGTAATGATTTCTTGAGGACCATGGCAAAAATTAGGGACCTAAAGACCAGTAAGGAAGTGCTGTCTCTTTTGACAAAGCTTTCAAGTGGTTGGCGTCGGCCTCAAGAGGATAAAATTCTCAGTGACATGAATGGGGTTTCTTCTCAACTGTTGGAGAAGTACAATGTCAATGGGCAGCAAAATCTCATTTGGACAGTAAGCATTCTCAGGGAAAATTCAAACTTCATCCAGGTTTTAATGGTTTGGGATGTTGTGCCATTGTCCAAGATACCCGAACTAGCAAAGCGTCTTGACATCATATTTGGGGATCTTTCAGAGGCTACTATGAATCTATGCATACACAAAAGCGTCGAAGGGTATGCTGTACTTTTAATTTATTTCTGATACATTTTGAATTTTAAATATGTTGCAGCAGCTTGCCAGTTGTGATGTTAGTTATCATGACACAAATGACTTGATTTTTGTTTTTTGTTTTTTTTTTTTATTATTATTATTATTATTACAGGGGCTTAGTGGTTCCAATGAAATGGCCGGCAGATTCTAGTGCCGATTGGAAGAATGCGCGTGCCATGACTGATTCTATAGAGGTTTTACAGAGCCAATTCGCTTCACTGAGTGTTAGTGATGCAGCGGGATCATCATCATCATCTACGAGTTACCGGTGAGTGTTTGGTATAAATCATTGTTCGGTACAAAATATCTGACTAAATATGATGAAGCAGTAAAATGTGAGAGGATATGTAAATTTTAGTTTCATTTTTTGGGATATCATTTTTTTTTCCTTTACTCTCTTGAACTTGAAGGTATTGAGATTTTTTTTGCAGAGGTTAGCATGTGCAAATAGCTGAAATACATAGTTATTTCTTTTTATTTAAAATTTTTTATTTCTCATTCATGGATAACAGAACTCATATGAATACCAAAATCAAGAGTGGAGCGAATACGTTTTGGCCCAAAAAGACAAACAGATGGTAGAGTGGGGTTGCATAACTGAGGTTCGTTTCTTGTTTTCCTATTCTTTTTAATTTTTTATGAAGAAAAACTAATTTGCGTAGATTCATCAATTTTATTTGGTTGCAGGTGTGAGGGATGGCGATTCACAAAACTTCCCACCACCACACCACCACCACCTATAGTCGAAGCCACGGCGAAATGCATACATGCTGATGATTTCTTGGACAATTTATAGCATGGCATAGTATCTTAAGCACAAATACTCTGTCATTGATAAAAAGATTTGAAAATGTTTGTATTCAAGATTACAAGTATATAAACTGTGTATGTCCTTTATATGAATTTGTGTAATGAGATTGTGAATATATACAAGTGGGAAATTTGTAATGCTAATTATAATTAAACTACTCGATTCCTAAATACCAGCATTATTGAAAATTATGTTAATTTCTTAGTAAGTAGGAAATGGTAGTTGTAAAAGAAAATGATATGGAAGATAAAAGAAAGGAAATAGTAGTTTCATTACAATATATAAATTAGCTTGTCATAAAAATAAAATTAAGAATCACTAACCCCTTTATTTGTTCGTTTCAAATCTCATCATTTTTTAAAACTAACAAGTTTATTGTAAGGGGATTAATAATTTTCATATTCATTCTTGTTTAAGTACATTATATTTGGGAGAATCGAAATGTTTTATATTTAAAATTAAAAAAAAAAAAAATTAGTTCAAAGTTTAAACTGAATTTCATGGTCTCGATTTGATACTTCCATATAGTTTGAAAAATAAGATTAACAATAAAGGGGAAAATGTTTTGTTGTCCCTAACCCTACATAAAATAAAAAATAAAAAAGGGGCAAACTAAAAAGAGGTTAATAATATGGGTAGGTTAAGTGCAAAAAACCCCTTGTACGTCAACAAATACCATGTCTACATAAAAAGACTATAATATCCTCTTGTCAGTAAAATGAAATAATATTTTAAAAAAAAAAGTAAAGTAAAATTACCATTTTAGACAAGAACACATGTCTTTCAACTCTGATTGGTTAGGTGGCCTAATAAAAAAATAAAAAAAAAAACATGTGTACAAAAATTTATGTAATATTAAAAAAAATTGGAGAAGACCCGTTTAACTAACCCAACTGATTAAAAAAGGCGGAATAGGAAGAGAAATGGGCAAGTTAGGGTTTTTAACTTTACTTTATCTCAATTTTGATCAAAAAGTGATTCTTATTTACATAATAATAAAAAATAAAAAAACATGTGTACAAAAATTTATGTAATACTAAAAAAAAATTGGAGAAGACCTATTTAACTAATCCAATTGATTAAAAAAGCGAAATAGGAAGAGAAAGGGGCAAGTTAGGGTTTTCAACTTTACTTTCTCTCAATTTTGATCAAAAAGTGATCACAATGACTTATTTACATTTTTTTTTTTAAATTTATGGATTGAAATATACATTTTGAAAAAAGATGAACTATTTGTACATAAAACCTATATTATAAGGGTTTTCTTTTGCTGTTAACCCTACTATGGGTCGACAATTAGATGATTTGGTGTATAATAATTATTTTCGGGGTGTATCATTGCTCAATTAAAAATTTATATGTTTTTTATTTTTTTTTATCAAAAATAATAATAAATAAATAAATAAGTTGAAGTGACTGCCACGCCACGTGCTAGCATATGCTGAAGACAATGTTGCTTAATAATAAATTTATTATGTATACAGCTATACATAATAATATATTTATATATATGTATATATATATATATATGATGTGTGCATATATCGGGATCACTCTCTAAAACTCCTCCACAAAGTCGCGCACTCTTTCATCTCTGTCTTGCTCTTGAGAGCAAATAATCAAATGGCGCATTCCAAAGCTCAGAGAAGCGTCCTCTTAATCTGCGGCGATTTCATGGAAGACTATGAGGCAATTTTCCAATCCCAATCCCTATCTGTAACCCTCTCTCTATATATCTCTATATCTATATCAATATTGATGTTATGAAGATGTTGTTTTATCATTGGGATGCAGGTAATGGTTCCGTTTCAAGCATTGCAGGCATACGGTGTGTCTGTTGATGCAGTTTGCCCTGGAAAGAAAGCCGGAGACATTTGTCGCACCGCTATTCATCAGGGTTCTCCTCATCAGGTGAGTCTCTCTCTACATCTACATCTATCTTTATATATAATTATATATACATACAAACATATGTGTGTGTTTATTTATGTGGATGTAAGTTGGCTTAGGTAAAATCACTTTGAAATTTAGTTAAAAGTATGCATACTCATATTCTGCAATTCCGATTACATCTATGTTGAGGATTATATATTGTTTCTTATCATTTTCTTGTTTGAAGGTCTTTTTGACTAATGAAATGAAATAAATTTTAAAACCCTTATCATGATAAATCCTACAACTTAAATTTAGAATATTGGTTTGAATTGATTTACTTTCTTGAGTCTCTTCTACTTTTGCAATTGAATTTTTGGACCTAAACACTGATCAGACTTCGATTTCAGTTGATTTTAGTTATTTGTTTATTTCAACTCTCAATTAGAAAATTTTATATCGTTATGAACATGGGCTTGTCATAAAAATAAATGTACCAGGTTTTTAATTTAGCTTCTGTTAGAATTTGAAGTTCTGGTCCTTCAAGGTTAGATAAACTCACATATATTTTCATAATTTGAAGTGAATGATGGTCTAGATGGCTTACCATTTTGCATTAGCTATGCGGGTATCACAGATGATACCAATGCTAGTTATTCTTCTATTTCCTAATGTTTTGTCATAGCCATCAGGTTTGCTGTCCGAATACCGGATTAGGAGAAGAGTGTTAACAAATTTTGAAGAGAAACCATATGGAGTTGAAAGCTACAGCTATCCAAGTAGACTAGATTTTAGCACAGAAGTATGTTGTAGTACTTGCTCATTATGTTTTCTCATTTTTTAATGGTTACAGACCTATTCTGAATCGCGGGGTCACAACTTCACACTCAATGCAACATTTGATGAGATTGAAGCTAGCAAATATGATGGGTTAGTAATACCCGGAGGACGAGCTCCAGAATATCTTGCCATGGACATTTCTGTTTTAGAATTGGTGAACAAATTTTCCAAATCTGGAAAGCCAATCGCCTCAATTTGCCATGGACAACTGATCCTGGCAGCTGCAGATTCAGTTAAAGGTAGGAAGTGCACGGCATACCCAACTTTGAAGCCTGTGCTCATTGCTGCAGGTGCGCATTGGGTAGAAGCAGAAACCATGGCAGCATGCACTGTTGATGGAAATCTCATAACTGGGGCTACGTACGAAGGACATCCTGAGTTTATTCGGCTTTTTATAAAAGCACTAGGAGGCAAAATAACTGGTTCAGATAAACGGATTCTATTTATCTGTGGGGTAAGTTATACTCTTCTTGGTTGGTTTCAATGAAGAAAGTGTAGTCTTAAGGAACAATAAGGTGAAAGTGAAACATCTGAATTTTGTGTCTCTTTCCTCTATATTTCTCAGAGAGTTAAATCATAACTCATAGATATGGTAGTATAGAATTCATATGAACAAACAATATGTGAGTAAATTTGGTTATTTAAATACTTTTGCAGTTCTGATTTAGGTTTGATATTATTTCTATCTAAGTTGAAAGTGAAACATCTGAATTTTGTGTCTCTTTCCTCTATGTTTCTCAGAGAGTTTAAACATAACTCATAGATATGGTAGTATAGAATTCATATGAACAAACAATATGTGAGTAAATTTGATTATATAAATACTTTTGTAGTTCTGATTTAGGTTTGATATTATTTCTTAGTTGAAATTCAAAATGAGTCCCTAAAAGTTTATACTTTCTCATGTTTATTACCAGTTATATTTTTTTTTTCAATTTTTTTCCCCAAAGGTATTACCAAAAAGTTCATTTGGTATTCAATTGTTTAAGTCAGGAAAGCTTACTAGTAACAACTAAAATCCTGAAAATTTTGACTTCAGAATGTTAAATTTTTCTAAATTAGTAAAAATAAATAAATAAATTCAAAATCCATTTAAAAAAATTTTATTTCTTCAAACAAAGTTTGCCTTTTCTATCCTCTAATGTCTAATGATGCATTTCTTTCTATGAAGTGATAAATATGTTGTCTTAAAACTTCTAGATAGTACTTACCCATAGAAGAAGGCATTATAATTAATTGTTGGTAGTGCAAGAAAATATATCAATATTTCTTATTTAAAGAGTCCAATATTTCTTATCAGATTATTCTGTTTACTGCTACTGTAGTATAAGATATACTGCCACTTTTACAATGTTTTCATTACTTCAAGCCGGGAGATTTTATCAAAATCAAAAAGCTACTTGGGTTGGGATAAATAGTTTTGTAAATGAGGATTCTGAAAAAATTTCAGAATCCCCCTTTAGTTATAGATTGGACAATTGGGACAATTTGGCTGTAGTCCATCTCTCTTGGCCAAGGAGCCAAAGTGGACAGGCTTATAACAATTGTTAGATAAAGAAGAGGCAAATGTGTTTTTTTATAACTGGAAATGGAGTTAGTCCATTTTACTCTGCAGTGAGGGTATACCCCCACTTATTATCTTGCAACTCTATTTCTTTTTCTTGATACAAGAACACCAGAAAAGGAAATTGTGTTTTGATGTCCATACATGGGCAGAGAATCTGCTAATTTGGCTGCTCTTATATATATGGCTTCCAAACTCTTGCTCAACCTCTCAGATTCAACTCTTGCCCGACTTATCAAATTGAATGGGGCTTGTTGGTGATTATTTGTATATGTAGGGATCTCTCTCTGCTCAAGTAGGTTATGGACACCTTAGTTGCTCCAAAAAAAAAAAAAAAAGAAGTTAATTATATAGGAAATTTTAAAACCTAATAGTATAGAAACTTGGTATGCTACAAGCTACTTCTCAATCTAATTTGAGAAGTTTGTCATTCATTCCACTCATATTCAATGGCAAGCTTGGTTTGCAATTTTTGCTCAACGTTATGAGGCACCATTGCTGCTTTTGTGTTTGTGTAGGATTACATGGAAGACTATGAGGTAATGGTTCCTTTTCAGTCCCTTCAAGCTCTTGAATGCCATGTTGATGCTGTTTGCCCCAAGAAGGGGGCAGGCGATAAGTGCGCAACAGCTGTCCATGATTTTGAAGGTGACCAGACTTACACTGAGAAACCAGGCCATGACTTCACCCTTACAGCAAATTTTGAAGGCTTAGATGCTTCAAGCTATGATGCTCTTGTGATACCCGGGGGCCGAGCTCCTGAATACCTGGCACTGGATGGAAAAGTCATTCAATTGGTGAAGGAATTCATGGATGCCCAAAAGCCTGTAGCATCCATCTGCCATGGACAACAGATTTTGTCTGCTGCTGGTGTTATCAAGGTAAATTATTAATATCCTGTTGTTAGTGCATGAAATTTTATTTTGGTATATTCTCTTATTGCAGGGTACATATATCTATTTTGATAACGACTACATATACACCTATGCTTCATTCGGGACTTGATAATGACGTTTGACTGAATATAATATGAAGTGGCAGTCAGTTGTCTTTTTGATGAATTTTGAGACACTCCTACGAGTTTACTTGCTACGTTGGAAGTCCAATGTAACTGGGACTTCTGTATATGTGCATTTTATATAATTTTAGTGAGGACTTGGCCTTGACCAAAGTTGGTGAGTTCTCTAAGGACTCTTGCAAGGAGAGTATGTAGATGAAAAACTCAATGGCCAATCTGTTCCACTACTTTTTGTATTCATGGAAGATAATATACTTAAAAATAAACACCTATTTTGTTGTTTTACTCCTCCTCGTATGCATTATATTATGTTACTTTTTGATCCCCTTCCACCCCCCACCCCCCCTCCTCCTCCTCCTCCTCCTCCTCCTCCTCCTCTCTTTCTTTCTTTCATTTTTATTTTTTTTACAGAAATGTTTGAAGGAATTTTATAAGTAATGTTCTTAAAATCATTTGGCTATGATATTTTGCATTAAAATCAATGATTTTGGACCCCATTTTGTGGTAGAATTCTACCATTTCATGTTCACGTTATCTACATTCATGTGTAGGAGGCCATGCATTTCGGCTGAAGCAAAATCTACTCTCTTCCTTTGAATAACATAAATATGGTGGATATCTACTTTTTAAAATATGGTTGGAGTCGCAAACATAAAAAGTGCTATAGCAATGGTGATGTGAAATCTTAATGTTGTACTAACATGATGTCAGTGCTGGTCCGTTGCGTAGCCAGTGTGCTGTTACCATGGTTCTAATTTTTATTTTTTGAATTATGTTATAGGGTAAGAAATGTACTGCCTACCCTGCTGTGAAACTCAATGTGATTTTATCTGGGGCAACGTGGATAGAACCTGAACCAATAAGTCGTTGCTTCACGGATGGGAATCTGGTGACTGGAGCAGCTTGGCCAGGTCACCCTGAGTTCATCTCTCAGTTTATGGGGCTGCTTGGTGTCCGGGTATCGTTCTAGTTGTTTATCATGTTTTTCAACTTGCATTGTACGTATCTGCTGAGTTACGTAGAGCACATGTTTAAATGGCTTTCTGTATGCGCACCTTTGAGAAAAATTATGGCAATCTATGTTGTGTTTTTTGTATGATGATTTCATGCTGTTGAAGGAATAATATTATCACACTGGGTTATGCAGCACTGATATAGTGCTTGTTTAGGAACTGGTCATGGTACTGATTAAGTTGGGTATGCGTGTGTAACTAATAATTATAGTATGGACAGCTTCCTTATATCATGGTTTTTCATGAAGCTTCTTTTTACGATGTTTTCTTATAATCAGTGTTTCAAGAGTTACGAATAAAAAAATAATTAAAAATTAAAAATGTGGAGAAATATGTTAGAATAAAAAAATAATTAAAAATTAGTATGGTTAAAACAGAATATAAGAAATGCAAATTTTAAAAAGGGTTATTGGTTATATTTAAAATTGAATAATTATTTAAAATAATTAATTTTGCTATTTAGTATCAATAAGATGTAGAGATACATAAATGATGTAACTTAGTAGAATTGGACCAGCTTTGACAAAATGAGCTTAAGGGGCATTTTATGCTATAAAAGACTACTAAATAAGTTAAAAGAAAAATTCTATAGAATTATTATTAAGTCAAACTATTTTATTTGGGTAAAGTGTTGGGTCTTGAGAAAAAAACAAGAACAATGTATTCCTGTAAGTTTGGACGGAGATATTAAGTTGATAGTCGGAGTGATGAGAAGAGATAGAGTTAGTAATGAACATATTTGAGAAAAAAAAAAAAAAAAAAAAAAAGACTTAAATAGCGTGAACATACTCATAATTTGCAATTATAGAAAGAGTGACCTAACTTGCAGTGGAATTGAAAAAAAAAAAAAAAAAAAAAAAAAAAATGATTTGAAAAAGTAAAATATAAGGAAAAAAAAAAAAAACCTGAGACTTAAATAGCGTGAACATTCTCATAATTTGCAATTATAGAAAGGGTGACCTAACTTGCAATGGAATTGAAAAAGTGAAATATAAGAAAAATAAATAAACAAGACTTAAATAGCGTGAACGTACTCATAATTTGCAATTATAGAAAGGGTGACTTAACTTGCAATGGAATTGAAAAGAAAATAATTTGAAAAAGTGAAAAGAAAATAATTTGAAATAGTGAAGTATAGTGACTTGTATATTTGTAATGGAAAGAATGAGAAAATACAAATTGATCTGACAAACATATTCATTTGAGATTGTAACAATAATGATAATGACGATGACATGCCCACCTAGTCTTATTTTATTTAAAAAGAAAAAAATCAATTTAGAAGTGTGTCATGAGTCATGACTCATGGGCACAAAGGCAAGTTTGAAATGGTAGTGAGGAAGTAACCATGGGGTTTCATTGCACATGTTAGTCATATTAATTTATGTATATAAAAATGAAAAATACACATCAAGACCAAACTTTCTTTGGCATGTAGTGTGGCTCACCAACCAATACTTAAAAGTGGAATTAATGTAGACAATCTCTTACAACTAAGGAGATTCCACATAGATTTTTCTTCACATTCCATGCAATATTTTTAATTTCAGTGGAATTCATAGGGTAAAACATTACCCTATGAATTCAAGGTCTAGTATTAAAATTTAAAACAGAGAAGGACATGCACTGGTGTCTTCTTTTGTTTCATTTATTTGTTTATTTAATTTGCATTTCATTCAAAAATTTGTGAAAAGAATGAATATGTTTCCATTGTTTAAATTAGTGCATAGGGAACACTATTTATTGTAGTCAACATTCTGTTTAAAAAGATAAAATAATTTTGTGTTTTTTTGAAAGGTTCAGAAGAGAAAATATTGCTTTAGTTAAGCCTTTGATATATATATATATATATATATATATATATATATATATATATATATATATATATATATATTTAAGAGTATTGCAATCAAGAGAGAACTCCCGTGCACTCTCCAAGTTTAATCATAGGATTGTAAGATCTATTAAATTATTTATTTGACTTTTTACAAATTATTTATTTAGCTTTTTATAATTATTTAAAAAAAAAAAAAAAAAAAAAAAAAAACTATCTCATTTTAATAGTTAAAATAGGGAGTAGTCCTTTTTAATGATGGTATAATAAACATATTTAATGGCTTTACTTTTTGGAAAGCTCCATTAACAACTTTAATTATATTTATGATCTTCATTCATTAACCTATTATTCGAAAACTATACCACACTCTAACAAAATATTACAAGCTACTTTTATTTTATTTTTTTGCTAATAATACTTCAACATTAATATTATATATAATATTTTTAAATATTAAAAATATAAAGTATAATATTATATTTGTTTTAGAATGTAAAAAGTATTTAAAGTATGGGAATAGTTCCTTTGACTTGTATATATATATATACTAGGAAAAGGCAACGTGCGATGCACGTAGTGAATATTTTGTAACTTATAAAATTTTTGTCTTCATATTGATTAATAAAAATTTATTTTATATTAATAAATAAATACTGAAATATTTTGAACTGGTGATAGAGTTTAAGTTTCGTAAATTAATAAATCCTTTTATGTTTTTATATTAATATTGAAATATGTATATTTTATTTTTTATTAAATAATAATTTTTTATTTTAATAGGAAAATAATTGAGTTTTGCAAAGTAACAAATTTTTTTAAGTAATTTGAATTTTATTAGATAATTTGAAATTTATAATAATTTTTAATTTACAATAGAAATTCAATTATATTAATTTTTAATTAAATTTTAAAATAGAAATTCAATTATACTAATTATACATTAGATTGAAATTGATATAAAAATTTATTATATGGAGTTTGTGGTTTTTGGAAGACCCTAGATTATATTTTATTTTCTTTAAATATGTAATTTGTGGTAGAATTTTATAGAAATTATTTTATTTTATTTAGATATATCTTTGTAAAATTAGATTTTCTTTTATTAAAAAAATCATAAAAAATAGATAAATACAAGGGTTAAATACTTATATGTGAAAGAGTTCTCTTTTTGTAATAATTAATAAATATTTTTTATATTAAAAAATAAATACTGAAATGTTCAAATTCTTTAACATTTATATTTTATTTATATGTATTATTATATTATTATATATTTTCTTTAAATATATCCTTGTCTAATGTGATAGAGTTATAGAAATTGTTTTATTTTCTTCAAATATATCCTTATTTAATTAGATTTTATTTTATTAGAAAACTCATAATAAATAGATAAATACAGCTTATATGTGATAAAGTTTTAAAGAAAATAAAATACTTAATTTGTGGTAAAGTTTTGATAATTTGTGTTAGAGTTGTATAAAAACTATTTAAATATATGTGGTAGAATTTTATATAAATTATTTATTTTCTTTAAATATATATATCCTTGTCTAATTAGATTTTTTTTTTAATTAAAAAAACTCATAATAAAAGATAATTTGTGGTAGAGTTTTAAAAAAATTATTTTATTTTTTATACCAATTATTAAATATTTTTTATATTAATAATTCTTGTCTAGTTATATTATATTTTATTAAAAAAATTCATAATAAATACATAAATAGGTAATTTTTATTAGAATTTTATATAAACTCTTTTAAAAAAATATTTTATTTTCTTTAAATATATCGTTGTCTAATTAAATTTCCTTCATAAAAAAACTCACAATAAATAAATAAAAACAAGTTATATGTCATTGAGTTTTAAAGAAAATAAAATAGATAATTTGTGGAAGAGTTTGATAGAAATTATTATATTTTCTGGAATTCTATTTATAATAAATAAATAAATAGGTAAGTTGTGTTGCAGTTTAATAGAAATTCTTTAAAAAACACTTTTTATATCAATTAATAAATATTTTTTTATATTAATAATTCTTGTCTAAATAGATTTCATTTTATTAAAAAACTTATAATAAATAGATAAATAGGTAATTTGTATTAGAGTTTTATAGAAACTCTTTTCAAACCTCTTTTTATATTAATTAATAAATATTTTTTTATCTTAACAATGCTTGTCTAATTAGATTTTCTTTTATTAAAAAAACTCATAATAAACAGATAAATAGGTAATTTGTGATATAGTTTTATAGAAACTCTTTTAAAAACTTTTTTTAGATCAATTAATAAATAATTATTTACATTAATAATACTTGTCTAATTAGATATCCTTTTATTAAAAAACAGTTGATAAATATATAAATAGAAAATTTGAGTTAAAATTTTATAGAAACTCTTTAAATATTACATCTTTGTCTATTGTGATAGAGTTTTTTTGAAAATAAAATTTGTGATTTGTGATAGAGTTTTATAAAAATTATTTTATTTTCTTTAAATATATCATTGTTTAATTAGATTTAATTTTATTAAGAAACTCATAATAAAAGTTAATTTGTGGTAGAGTTTTAGAAAAATTATTTTATTTTATATATCAATTAATAAATATTTTTTATATGAATAATTCTAGTCTAATTAGATTTTCTTTTATTAAAAAATTCATGATAATAAATAGATAAATAGACTAACTTAAATTTTATTAGATAGATTTTAGAGTTTGATTGACATTTTTTTTTTTTTCATAAAAACTCTTTATATATCAATTAATAAATATTTTTTTTATAAAAATAGATAGTTAAATACTGAAACTCTTTGCACATGTAATAATATTATAGATAAAAACTTTATTTATATCAATTAATAAATATTTTTTATATAAATAAATAAATACTTAAACACCTTGGCACAACTTCTGTATTTTACTCAAAAAATTAGGTTTTCTTTTTTAAAATAATTCATAATAATAAATAGGTTAATTTGAATTTTATTAGGTAGATTTTAGAGTTTAATAGAAGTTTTTTTCTATAAAAACTCCTTTCAAATCAATTAATAAATATTTTTTTTATATAAATAAATAAATACTGAAATACTGAAACTCTTTCCACATTTAATAAATATTTTTAAAATAAATAAATAAATACTGAAACTTTAGATTTACTTTTATTAAAAAATTCATAATAATAAATAGATAAATAGGTTAATTTGAATTTTATTAGGCAAATTTTAGAGTTTTATACAGTTTTTTTTTTCTTTTATTTATTTATTTTTTTTATAAAAATTCTTTTCATACCAGTTAATAAATATTTTTTATATAAATAAATAAATACTGAAACTCTTTGCACATTTAATATTTTATTTTATTTAAATATATCATTGTCTAATTAAATTTAATTTTATTAAGAAACTCATAATAAAAGTTCATTTGT